CCGGGGGGGGGGGGGACCTGCCGCTAACATGTGAAACCGAGTCCTCCCTAAACCCCTAAACCCTAAACCCTACACTTATATGTTACATGAAAGGGGGAGGTGTAAGGTTTCAAGTCGCCGGTTAAGGCTCCAGATTCAATCCTTGGTGCACTTGCTGGGATGCAGAAAAATGATTTTAGGGGCTTGCTTTTATTGTACTACGGTTCCCGGTTCGGGGTTTTATTGCATACTCTTTGGGGTTGGGTGCGGTCGCGGGGCAAACACATAGTGCCTCTGCTATGTTTGACCTTAGAGTCCTCTTGTTTGTGGTGTCTTGACATGTGCGCACTGAAGAAGTTGTCAAGCGCGGCGGAACATAAAAAGCACCTGGCACTTCGACCACGGCGGCGACGGATGCTGCGTCCAACACGACAACTACGACGGTGCCGGCCAATGTCGCGACAGCGACGACGATCACAATCACAACGACGGTGGTTTGCTAGTTTAAGTTAACACAATGAAGGAAAGAGTCGGGCGATGCCGAACATGATGGTGCTGCCACGGAAGCAGGTATGGACATAGATGACTCTGATGACAACATTGGCCACGTGATCATATTCCCCCGAACGGAGAGTGATGTTGATTTTGATGGCGATGGTTCAATGCGGGGCGTGATAACAAGGCAAGCAAATGAAGTCCAACGAGAAAGGTGCGCATGATAACGACAAGGAAGGATAACCGCGAGTGTGGCCGCGTGTGTGTGATTGTGACGCTGATGGTGGTGGCAGCCAAGCCGCAGACGCATGTTGCAGCGTGATGATGGGTATGACTACGACGAAGATCGATGGTTAACTTGCTAGTTACGGTTGATGATGATGGCGATGATGATGATGATAATGGCGACGAAGGGAAGCATGAGGACCAGGACGAGGATGGTGACTCTTCTTGCAAGCTGCTTTGCTATCACCAAACCATGCCCGCTACTTGCCTCTGAAGCTGACGCAGCTTGCCTGAATGCAGCCCTGGCACCCTTCCGAACACAATCAGTGAGTGGCGACAGTAGTTTCGAGATGTTTCGAGCACCTCGAACGGGTTGAACATGGCCTCACGAGCAGAGCGCTGGAGATGTTTGGGCTGCAGAAGTGCGGGCTGTCAGCACGCGCCACGAATGAGATCCAGCTGGCTGCTCCGGCCGGCGTGCCTGTATGATCCTTTTTTTGTCCTGCACCCACTTACCTGCGCAACTGCTGCAGCCGCTGCACGAAAACTCCATCGGGAGCCCACCACCTTGGGGACCAAATGGCCCTTATAAGTAGGGGGCCCTGTACCCTTATACTATGAATCCCTATATTTGGCTATATGAACCTTAAGCCCTTTTGGGGTTCATTTCGTCCTTAACCCTATGCTTCCAGGGACCCTATTAGTGGGTCCTTAAGGGGTCTAGGAAGCACAGGGTAAGGTATTATGGCAATGGTCCGGCTGCTGCGGCTCTATCTCAGCATCTGCGCCCTTGTCCATGTCCCCTCAATCCGTCGCACCATGCCAGAGACTGCGTACCCACAGGCCCCCAAGTAGTTCCTTAAGTTTTGTGGTTCAGATTTAGAATCCTATAAGGTAATCCCCAAAAGGAACCACTTAGGGGCCTATGGGTAGACGGCATACACCGGAATCCGCACCGAAATTCGGTGTAGTGCTCGAATATAACCTACGCAGGCCCCAAAGGAACGCTTGAAGCTCAGCCACCTTCATCAAACGAAGCTCAAACCCCCTGAACTCTAAAAAACCATCTCATGAACCCTTCGCCGTGAAGTCCTACACTGCCCTACACCAGCCGAAATCCGAAACCCTCCGCTCAGCCTAGACTTTAAACCCTGAACCCCTGAACTCCGACCCCTGCACTGGCACACCCAAAACCCCGAAAACCCCAAAACCCTCAATCCCCAACACCCTAAACCCCTGAGTTTAGGAGTTTAGGGTCTATAGGCCCCTGACCCCTAAACCCCTGCCCGAAATCCCCAAAACTCCCAAACCCCTACACCCCTAATCCCCTGAAGCAACCCACGGCCGCGCCGGTATTGGCAGCGCTTCCCGCGCGGAGTCCGGGTAGGTCTCGAAGGGCGGTGACGCTAACTCCAGGACCTCTAGCTTCCCAGAGAGCCCCAAGATTCTTTTAGGGTTTACGGTTTATAGGGGTTTGGGGGTTTAGGGGATTTAGGGGTTTAGGGGTTTAGGGTTTTTTTGTTGAGGACCTTTTGCCTGGCATACAGCCAAGAGAGCCCATTCGTGCTTAGGGTTTAGGGCTTTGGGTTTAGGGTAAAGTCCCATGTTTAAAGCCCAAGAGGACTAAGACCCTTGGGCTGAACAATGACTCTGCCAAATGTGGAGAATACAATTCCGTTCTCTAGTTATATGCCTAGACCCTTAAATGTAGTACCTTTTTTGGGTTACCGTGGTTTCTTACTATAGGATCCTAACCATAAAATAGGTCATGCAAAAAAAGTACTACATTTAAGGGCCTAGGTGATGTGCTATTAGTGCTGGTACTGTGAAGTCATTAACCATGGTTGTTGTTTCTTTTGCTTCTGATCCGACTATTACCACCATTCACAGGTGTCTCGACACAGGCTTCAGGAATATGAAACGAAGGCTGGGCAGGTTTCGGAGAGCCCAATTTATCCGCTTCTATCGAACACTCAGTAAGAGAGGTTGAGTCTGGAATTTAGTACGGCACCCTCATACTCCAAGCGCATGAAGGCTATTATTGACTGCCTGAATATTCCGCACGGCGTAAGACGCAAAACTTAATCCAGGCCTACTGTCGAGTTGTGCTTGCGCTCACAAAAGATCTTAATGTGGGCGCCTTAATACTTAGAAGAAGGCCTTGGCACATACAACAACAATATATTAAGGAGTCGTCAGGAATTAGTTCGGTAAGTATCCAGGCTCCAATGTGAGCAAAGCTTTCGCTCATTGTGTCAGAAGGCTTTGGATTCGAGATCTTCGGGAAAACTGTTCAGAATCATGTTGTGATAGGGTAGGGTGGGATAACGGGAGAACTTCCTCCTGCTCACCTTGGCCCAAGCTTGAGTCTAGAGTTGATCGATCGCAGCATGGCGTCCTTTGCCGAAGGCTGCAAATTGCGACAACGAGAAGACAATCCTAAACGATTTAGCACTCGACCGACTTCTCTTGTCGCCCAACTAGTCATGAAGCCATTGAAGGTATGATCTCTTGTGTTGTCTTTTGAAGAGGCTAGAGTTCTCAAAACTCTGTGTATGTGTGCTTGTTGAGCCCCCCAACGGATTTTTAATCTTCACGATGCGGCTGCGAAGGATTCTGTACACATCCGAGAACGTCTCTCCCATGGCTCCACCACCTTAAAGACGAAATGAAGCCTAAAAGGGCTTAGGGTTCATATACCATATAGGGACTCATAGTATAAGGGTATAGGGCCCCTACTTTTAAGGGTCATTTGGTCCTTAAGGCAAAACCCCAAGGACAAACCTTAACCAGGCCAACCTGCTCGTCTAGCAACACCTCAAATCTTCAAAACTTGAAGTAAATAATCTACCTAGACGCTACAGTGCAGTAGCTTTTGGCTGATAGCCTGTCACAAAATGAAGGTAACAAACACAGGCACTACATTGTAGCGTCCTCCGCGGCTTGTGCTTCAGAGGTTCGAGTGGAGAGCCAGCAACCGGGAGATTGTAGGGGCCTTAATAATTAGAATGGGGTTTTGGGGGTTCCTTATTATAATTATAGTATAATGGCCCCCAAAACCCTATTCGAATTATTAAGGCCCCTACATTATTCGGAAGCGCATTTCGGAGGAGCTTGGCATCTGCACACTGTACACAACGGCCCCAGTCTGGAAAAGCACGTGCTTCCACCCACCCAGCAGGGCGAGTAACTCCCGAACACAACCCTAGAAAAACCCTAAACCCTAAAAGCCCTACACCCTCAACTCAAGGTTGAATTCCCACAGTCGCTCTGCGAGGCATTGGCGAAAATCTCGCAGGTAACCCTAAACCCTAATTTGCTTAGGGTTGAGGAGACCCCACAGAGTTTAGGGGGCTTGTTTAGTGACTCAGGGTGTTGGGCTTGGAGTTTAGGGGTGTGTTTAGGGTTTCAGGGTGTTGGGCTTTCGGTTTAGGGGTTTGTTTAGGGTTTTAGGGTTTTTGGCTTCAGGTTTGGGCGTTTAGGGTTTCGGGTCTACCACATGGGTAGTTCTCTAAATTAGGGTGCCTTTCTAGGCCCCAAATATAGTACGGCACCCTTATAAAAGGAACCCTACAAGCGACCCTAATTTTCAGAACTACCCACATAAACTCTAAACCCAACCCTAAAGCCCCAAAGCCCTAAAGCCCTAAGCCCTATACACCCTAAACCCTAAAGCCCCAAAGCCCTAAAGCCCTAAACACTAAAACATCTCATCTGACAGTCATCGCTCCCTGCTGTGGTGGTCTGTCGATCGGCAGTCCCATCAGTGACCCGTGTGCTGCTCTAACCGATGACAAGGCCACCGCTGCGGGTCCTGAACTGTTTGTTTCGGTGGGAGTGCTAAGGTTTACTTACGGAATTCTGGACAAAGGTTTTTGCGAGTTTAGATCTGGAGGTTAGGATTCCCGGTGTGGAATATTTAGGACTGATCACTATTTACAGGTAGTTTGGGTTCCTTCAACGGAAGCAGGCTTTGGAGGGGCCTTAGTACTGAGATTGGTGTTTCTGGTGTTTGTCGGTGTGAGGGGGGATGCTATTACTACTTCTTGACGTAAAAACGGAAATCAGAGAGGAACCCGTACAACTCCCAAACACTTTGGTTGTTTAAGGTTCAGGAACACTGAATCCGAAAGTTTAGGGCCTAAGCCCTAAACCCCTAACCCCTATAAGCCTTAAACCCCTAAACCCCTAAATCCCCTACTCCCAAACTTGGCTTGAAGGATTGGGTTTTTCCCGTGATGTTCGATTTCGCACCGGGCGACTTGGCCATAAGGAGGTTAGAAGCGCCTATAGTCTCCTCTGTAGAACCTCTTTTTTTTGGTGAACCAGCCATGAGGTTCCTGATTCATGAAAACTGCTGAACCCAGAAAGGGTGTGCAATGGATACTAAGGTAGACCCGAAACCCACTGGCTTCCACGGTTTGGGGGCTTCAGGTTGGAATTAGGACCCTACCTACAGTCTCCATTGTAGTTCCCTTTTGGGGTTACCTTTTAGGATCCTTAATGGAGAACTGGTTAAATCAAAAACAGGAACTACAATGGAGATTATAGGCAAACCTCGAGCCACCTGATCCTCGAAAGCCTCGCATTCCAAGATATGAAAGCAACAATCAAGGGACCTGAAGCCGTCGTAGTTCGACCCTTAGCTGTAGACCCTACTGAAACCTTGATCCCGAAGTAGTTATGGCATAAGGCCTAGTTAGAGTCGGGTTTTGGGGGCCCAGTATGCTATACTTCTAATAAGGAGCCCCCAACATAGCATTGGTACTTATCGAGGCCCCCTGGATTAAACCCTGGAATCGGGAACCTGGCAGCTCCAAAACCTACCCTCGAACCCGAAACACTGCGCCCTTCAAAACCCCTAAACCTGGTTCCCTGTTGGGGCAATATTTAAGAATGATCCTTTTTTCATCCTTATTATTGGGTTTCATTACAACAAAATGTAAAATTGTCGCCAACAAGGACCCAGAAACCCTAAGCAACCTAAACTCTGAATTTGTCAGAGGCTCCATTGAGGAGCCACGGGGCCAAAGCAGCAGCCGAGGTTTCAGGGAGGTTTTGAGCAGCGGGAAGTTTCTGCGGGCAAACCTGGCCGGACGATTCGTTCGCCAGAGCTTCCGGAGGCTTCGCCGGTGGCCCTAAACCCTAAACCCTGAACGGGCTTAGTTTTGTTTGGGGTTTAGGATTTGGGGTATAGGGTTTAGGGTTTAGGGCCGGTAGGTTTAGGTTTCCTTGGGGCTGGAGGTGCTTTATTTAAGGCAGCGGGCTTACGCAGAACTCATGGGACCTGTGCCCGTTCTCTTCGCGGGCCAGTGGAATACGACTCTTCGAAGTTCGGCAGCTTCTATGTATCATAGACTCAACCTACTTCCCATACTTTGGCTCATAAAGTCCAAGCAAAATATATACATATTCATCTCCATACCCGTCTGCTAATCAACAAACAATTAAATGACACGTGTACATATATCTATAGATGTATACCCACATATGTGTATATATAATTATATAATTATATATATATATATATAAGTATATATATATACACAAATATGGGCACCCCCACGGCACCCCAGAGCGCAAAATAGCCTGGCACCACGTGTGGTCTTCGAGCCGGGAAAGTTGTGAGTTAGAAATTCAGAGCCTGAGGGTTTGGGGTTTAGGGTTTAGGGGTTGTGCCTTAGAAATTCAGAGCCTGAGGGAAAGCCCCAAGTGCCCTGAAACGTTAACCTGAACCATGGAAGCTCTAAGCCTAGCATAGGTGTCTTGATGATTCGAATCGTGTTCTGGGGTGACGGAAGTTCCATGGAAATTCCGTGAGGATTCTGACCCCCACCTGTGGCCGAAAAAACCTACCTTCTTAAGGAACTATATATAGAAACCATAATAAGGAACCCTAAAATACTAGGTCTTTGCGGTTACAGGCAGACCCTGTTGCGCGCCTGACGGCCAAAGGCGAAGCACTGTCCGTCGGTCGACTCAACGCATCGCGATGCGTAAAAGACGGCGTTGGAAGGCGGAGCCTCAAAATAGCTCAAAAGCCCTATAGAGTAGGGTTTAGGGTTTAGGGTTTAGGAATTAGGTATAGTCTAGTATCTTCTTTGGCCCAAAGGCCTTAGAATATGAGCCCTTAAAGCCTTAGGGTTAAGGGTGGGTTCTCTTGGTGCTTATAGTAGAACAATAATGACAATGATAAGTAAAACCAATGCTACTGAATATGCTAATAAGGGCGTGTCAGGTGTGAAGAGCAGGGGGGCCTTTGGGTTTGGGGTTTAGGGTTGGATTCGGGGTTCAGGGTCTTATTCCGAAGTGCACAAAAGTCGGAACGAATGTAAGAGTTCTATACAGACACGATGGTTTCCAGATAAACCAAATAAAACACAATCAACAGCCACTGCACCTGCGGTGCCGGCACATGCTGAATGAGAGCTCCCAGCAAGACGTCTGCCAAGGGCATCCACGCCTCCTTACGTTTCGGGCTTTGGGGCTTACAAAGCTCTGGGTTCCCAGCTTTGGGCTTTGAGTTTAGAGTTTTAGGGTTTAGGGTTTTGGGGTTGGGGTTTGAGGTTTGAGGTTTAGGGTTTGAGGTTTAGGGTTTAGGGTTTAGGGTTTCGGGATTAGGGTCTAGAGAGGGTTTTTGCAAGCCCACTTCTCCGATAGCCCCCAAACTCCTTTCTACAACGATGAATGCGAGATCTTCTCAAAGAGTGCCAGCTCGAGGTTTCCCCAAGGACACAAGTACTCAACAATCACAAGCACCCGGTACGTACTTTACTCCTGCCCTAAAATGAAGGGGAGGAAGGGGATAGTTGATCACGAGTCTACATTCCCTAAACGACTAACTCTTAACCCTAACACCCTAAATCCGGGTACCCTATAAACCCTAAACCCTAAAAGCACCCTAAATCCGGTTGCTGAAGGCCGAACTACTCTTCAACGTCGGAATCCCCGAGCCGACGCCCTGAGCTCGATCCCTATAAATCCCAGCCCCTATCCCAGTCTCTCAGAAACTAATGCTTTCGCAGCATCTTAAGGGTAGCATACTTCGTGCGCTGGATAATGAGGATGCTACCTAGACCCTTAAATGTCGTACCTTTTTTTGGATGAAACTAGGGTAACCAACAAAAAGGTACTACATTTAAGGGTCTAGGTACTGCTCTGGATCTCTATCCGGTTGCCCTGTTTGCTGAAACTCACAACTCTTGCGGGCGGCTCCACACTTCTAAAAGGTGAACTCAGAGGTTCAGGGCCCACATAAACCCCCCAAGTCCTACAACTTTGACGTAGTGTAAGCAGAAATCACAATCCTACGACACATGGTATGAAGATGGCTTAGAGTTCGGACAAAGCTTAGTCTGAACTTCCTAAACCTGAATCCAAGCTGCTGGGCTGAGAATATGTAAGGGTTTAGGGCCTCAGGGTCTAATTTTACCGCGAAGTTTATGGGGTTTATAGGGTCTATATAAGTGTAAGGCTGAAGGATGTGGCTTACGGCAAGAGGTGCCAAGATGCCATGGCGCTTTGCTTCCAGGCATTTCCAGTAAGCCCTTCCTTCGGAGTGACGCCACGCTCCTTCAAGCAGAAAGACCCTAGAGAAGCAAATGCACGTCGATCAACGACCTCTTCGAAATAGTTCGAAAAACACAACCAAAATCAACATATGGCCCCCGATCACGGCATGACAACGTACGTTGAGGTTTGGGGTTTCGCCGAACGCCTCTAACGGAGATCCCTACCCCTCCTCTAACAAGGAATCTGACAGGAATCCCTCAACCCCTTGCCCACAACGTCCAAACTTCAAACCCTGAACCTGAACTGCTCTAAACTCCCAGCCAGGCATTGACCCTACTTCATTACCCTGACGCCTCAACTCTAACACCCCCTTAAATAAGCAATCTACTGTAAATCATATGAACGATTCGCTGATTTTTCGAGTCATACTCCCATTCCTTAAAGCATGTTACTCTAGGTGAGGGCTGATAAATCTTTCTACACCCTGTAACCCCACATAAACCCCTGCATTTCAGGATATGTTAGGTACATTCCTGGGGATTGAGTTCAGGGCTTAGGGTTTAGGATTTGATTAGGTCCGATTAGGTTCTTGAATTAAAGCATATTTGTCTGGGGGTTTGGTGAAGTTTTGGGCCAACTCGGGTCCTGCAAGCGGGCTAAGCCCACGTTGTCCGGAGCTTCCAACGTGGCGTAGATGCCTCGGATTTGCTGAAGGACCTGAGCAACAGTAGGTCATGGTTCAGGGTTTCTGGTTCAGGGGTTAGGGTTTAGGGTGTCCTTTGAAGGGTCTAGGGTGTCCCTTGAAGGGTTTAAGGTGGCCCTTGAAGGGTTTAAGGTGGCCCTTGAAGGGCTTTTGAAAAGGCGTGGGTTCCTGACTCCTGAAATCCTCGAAACTCTTTCTGCTCTGCCTTCGTCAACCCTCTGAGCCACACAAACCCTTGCAGAGCCCTTGTAGTAACTCTAACTCTAAGGGTCCATGTGCCCAAATACAGCTGATGATGTAAATCTTGCATTACCAATAATAAGCAATACAGCATCATGCCCATAGTTTAGGGTCCTTCAGGTAATGCAGGATTTATATCAGACTCAGGCCTGCAAGTAGTCCCTCTACAGGTACCTTGGGGCCAAAGTCTGTACTATGTGTACATGGACCCTGCGAATAACCCTGCCAGAACCCTTGCAGTACTCCTTACAGTAGCTCTTAAACAATGCCGCAGCCCCAGATGGTAGTACTTGTCTACAGATAACCTGTTCTATGGCCAGGTCCGACAATCAAAAGCCAACGAGCCAAAAAGAGGAGTTACATGTAGTGGTCTCGATAGGCCCTAGACTAAACCTGCAAAGTGGCCAGCTTGCAAAAGCCACGCTCACCGTCGGAGTCCCGCCAGCGCCCATTGTAGAAATGGTCGCCCCATAGGCCTGGATTCTGGTTCTTTATCTTTGTAAACCCCTTTTTCCGTCTTGCACGACATTGAACTCGACGAATTCAGGGTTCGGGGTTCAGAGTTTAAGGTTCGGGTTCAAGAAGGAAGGAAGCAAGTCTGATTTTATGGGCTGCCGTTTATACAAATGGCTTAAGGAAGCCTATGTAAAAAAAACCCTAAACCCTAAACCCTACACCCTAAACCGGAAAAACACAAAAAAAGGAGAGGATCCGTAAGGCTGACCAAGAAACGAGGACGCAACTTCTCAACCTGCTCCAGGCTCCAGTCTTTTCCTTTTCTGGGCGGTTTAGGGTTTAGGGTTTATCTTCCGGGAGTTTTGTGGCTTCGGGCTTTCTACAATCTTAAAGCTCTACCTAGACAATTACATGCAGTAATTACCCTGTTTTGGATGACCTATTTTATGGTTAGGATCCTATAATAAGAAACTACGGTAACCGGAAAAAAGGTACTACATTTAAGGGTCTAGGTACACCCCAAACTCCAAACCGGAAACCCTCACCAAATCGGAAACCCGGCCCTGCACCCGCAACTCCCGAAACCGAAATTGCACCCTACCAGAAGCCCATTTACCCGTAAACCTTGCCGAAGGTCAGGGGGGCTGCACAAAAATCAGGGGTCAAGGCTGCAGGATCGGCAACACGGGCGCAGTACAGGGGTCTTAATAATTAGAAGAAGTTTGATTTTGTGGTATGTTAGGCGTCTATGGTATACCTCTGTCAGGACCATTAGCGGAATGTGGGGCCCTCAAAACTTAGTATTCCTAAGCTTGCAGGTAAGCTTAAGCTGGGAAGTACGAAATACTCTGATTACGGAATGCTTCTTTAACACCCTCAGAAACGCTATACAGCACATAAACGAACCACAGGCAGGCCGGCTAAGTTTCGAGACGCCATCTCCGTCAAGAACTGCTCCAAAGTGAAGCCCCAGCCACCAATAGACCTGGGCTTCGGGTTTGAGGTGCGGGGTTTAGAGTTGAGAGCGCTTGAGGGTTTATGGTCGAGGGGTTTGGCGTATAGGGTCTCGGGGTTTAGGGTTTATGGGTTTAGGGTTTAGGGGGGGAGGGGGGTTAGGGTTTTAGGGTACTTCTGTACCTCTGCAAAAAGTAGAACTGTTGGCAAGTAGTTCATAACCCCCCAAACTCCAATAATGCTGTAAGAGCCAATCAGCAAGAGCCAATCAGCAGAGTGCCGTAGGGTATACTGTATATAGTAGTATGTATGCATGTATGCATGTATTGTATGCATGTGTGTATTTGTATGCATGTACGTGTGCATGTATATATTATGCATGTATGAATGTATGCCAATGCTTTCTTGTATGTAGAAAGAGATAGGATGCCAGCAGAGCGCCAAGGGACTCTGCGACGCTTAGGGAGCCACGTCCAAATACGATGCTACCATCCTCCACGGTCAAAGGCTTCAACGATGGCACACCGTCCATCACGCCGTTCAGCCTGTCCACAATCAGGCAAAGCCGCTGGTAGCAAAGCTCATTGTCAGGCTCCAGGGCCAGTAGCTTGTCAAGCTTGTTCCTGGGCTCGAAGTATCCCCTTCTTTGTTCCCCTGTTCCAAGAAGGGAACCCCTTAATTATAAAGGCGGATGCTGCGGGACCAAGGCTCAGAAACAGGACCGGCTGCAATCCATGTGCAACTGCGGACCCAAAGGTGGTGCAGAAATTGTCGGTCAAGCCTTCTGCGCAATCCACCACGACTAAAAGACCATCCACGAGTGGAAAACAGTCCGTGATCTGCTGGGTGTCCCCAAAATGTGGGGCCACGAGGTGCAGCAAGCAGGGCAGGTCATCGGGAGGATCGAACCGAAGAGGCAGCGAAATCCACTGGCTCTGATGACGCTCCTTCGTGTTCGGTAGCAGCTTCTTAGATACGGCTTTTCCGGTGCAGGAGCGGTGTCTAGACAAGTAGCCCAGAAGGCTATCTTGACCATGGTCTGTCGGTGCCATGACCAGGATATGGCGCATGCGCCCACGGTGCTCAAGCGCTGGGCGAAGCCCCGAATGTAGATCCTCTTGCTTGCAGGCTTGCTGCGAGTATCCTGGGCTGTCACAGGAAGACCCTTGAACAGAATGTTTGCTCTTCTGTGTTCTTGCTTATATAAGAACAAGCTGGCAAACAGGATTGTTCAAGAAGGGCCCGGCATCTAGCGATGCCATGACGGCTTGTCAAGCAGAATTGCCTCGCTGGCAAAGTGATCAGCTGGGACTCCAGCATCTCGGTCCACACTGCTTTCAAGGGCGAGAAGCAGGTGTCGTCAAAGACAACCTTACACTACGATGATATAAAAGAGCAGCAGTTTGGAATTCACATCTCATCAAACAAACTTAACTCAGAGGCTGTCAAAGTGATACTCAAACATAACTAATAACAGCCCGACAAGATTACATGCTCGGCTGGGTATTGGAGTACTAAGCCACAAGCCCGCCCACAAGCAGACCCTATTGTGAGTATTGAGGCCGCCGTTCTGAGAAAAAAACAATTATAACTCTGGTTCTGAAATCCATACAATATATTGCTTAACGGAACCCTCAAACCCTAAACCCACCCTAAACCCCAAACCCTAAACCCGTCAACCTTGAAGCCTCAAACCCGGATAAGCAACCCACGCTCCCGATCTGGCCGCGGTCTTCGCATTCCGTAGGTCCGTGCGGGCAGCGGCGGGATCATGGTCCCCATCGATGTGCACCAAATCCGCCCCTGGGTCGTTATTGGCTTCTTCTTCATGGATTCAGTTTTTTTTTGTCAGGCTGGCCATCGAAGATTGAGGGTTGACCAGGGTTTTCCAAGTCTTTGTAGATTGAGTTTAGGCCCGTTGGATGGTAGATGACTTCCTGTTCGACGTGTATAGGCGAAGGTGCGAGATTCAGAGATTTGTGCGCTTTTTTGCCTTTTTGAATTATCGAGAAGGGCCGGCCCCCGAAAAGACCATGGCCGAAATATCAGAATGGCCTTTGGGTTTAGCCTGGTAGGGAACAAACAACCAAACAAATTGCTACATCCTTCAGATGTTCGCTACATCCTTCAGATGTTCTCTCCCAATCCCTGGAAAACGAGAAAATTCTCAAGGGTGTACTTGGAGGTTCACGGGTGGCTATATCAGAAGCAGGGCAGCTACAAGGAGACTTATAACCCCATTTATAACTACCCATGAACCTCCAAGTAGGTAACTCGTTTCAGCTTCTTTGGCGCAAATATTTCTAAGTATCCCTAAACCCTAACCCTAAACCCAAAACCGAAATACTTAAACCCTAAACCAAAGGGGATTCGGGTTCCGAGTTATTGTTGCTCTTGGGTGTGGGTGATCTGGTACATACGGGCTCCTAGACTTGAGAGAGGCTTTGGGGCGTCGTCTTTGTGTATGAGCTTAGGAGCTTCATTCGTCTCGAAGCAACCCTAAACTAAACCCTAAACCTGATATTTTATTCCGACGGCTCAGGCCTCCGGAATGGTTTCTTTTACGGTTTGGTTTTAGGCTTCAGGGTTTGTAAAGTTCCGTCGGTTTCAACAGCTGGCAAAGCACTTCTGGCTCTGGGTATGGAAGCCTAAACGATTACTTGTTCGGTAGGGGGGGGGTTACGTGTACCATATAGAGACATCCACCACCCGAAGGACTAACATTGCGATCCGTTCAAGTCACTACAATACTTTAAACCCTAAACTCAAGACCCCGGCAGCCCAGAGGGAATCGGTCGAGTCCCTTCTTAAAGGATATGGAGACTCAGCAAATGGATTATCAAGCAAAGTACGCCACTGCAGCTAAATCTACATATCACCACAATGGAGGCACTTCAAAACCCTAAATTTACCAAGACCCCTAACCCTAAACCCCAAGTATATTCGGTGCAATCGAGGATCTTTCCGAGTTCTCAGCCGTCCACTTGGGCAGCGTCTGCTGCGACTTCCCAGGGACGAGCCGCAGACGACCCGGGAAGGCAGCTGCTAAGATGTCGAAGCAGGGCTTCGTGTAGGCATGCTCACACCTCAAAGGGCTCCACGGGTGGGATGAAGCTAGGTGGGGTAATCCCAAATAAGAAGTATAGTGGATCCTCCAGAGAGGCTTTTAGAGGAATGGAAAAAGGGGTATTATAAAGGTAACTGAAAGATTTTCATGGAGCTTTACCAGGGCCTTCGAAGCGCAGCTACACCTGGTATGTTTAAGGTTGCAGGGGTGCAGGGTTTAGGGTCAAGCTGCTTTCGGTAGTAAAGGCGGCCGCATTCTGAGCTCTTCTGAGTTCGAACCGAAAGGCTTCTACCCGAAAGCCTCCACCGTAAACCCTCAACCTCTGGGCATCAGGGTGCGTCATTGCAAGACCACTCCCTGGTTCTTAGTAGGGAATGGGGGAATGGATCCCTATGATAGTCCCTTAAGGCCCCCTATAGTAGTCCCTAAAACCCATTCCCCCATTCCCTACTAAGAATCAGGGAGATCATCCCTACACCCCAAACCCTAAAACCCTAAAACCCTAAAACCCTAAAACCCTAAAACCCTAAACCCTAAACCCTAAGCCCTAAACCCGACCAGGCGCAGGTCAAAGGCAATCACCTGCAACTTGGGATGGGCGGAGAGCCTCGGGTACCGGAGCAAAGGAGCTCTCAAGGCTTTTTGTGTTTTCTGTCTCCATTTCAGTTCCTTTTTGGGGGTTACCTTTTAGAATCCTTAGTATAGAATTGGCTAAACCAAAAAAAGGAACTGCACTGGAGACTATAGGTAACGTCTCTCTTTTATGGAAACTACAGGTGGGGAGTTTAGGGTAGATAGGGCTTCTATAAGGCTTCTATAAGGTATACAGACCTTCTATTAGGCTCGTGTAACGGTAACTACCCGCCTGAAAATGTCCTAGACTTTTCCAACTGTACGAAGTCCAAACTAAGGCTGGCAGAAGTCTCCCGTGAAACAAGACCAGGGTTTGCGGTTCGGGGGGATTCGGGCTCTGGCTTTAGGGTTGAACGTGAAAACAGAAGCCCTAAGCATCTAAGCACCTCTAAACAAACGTAGACTCATATGCGAACCTTGGAGTGCACCTTAAGCCCTAAAACCCCCAAACCTCCAACCCCCCAACCTAAACCCCCAAACCCCCAAACCACTAAACCCTAAACCCCTACACCCTGCTACACCACACCCAATGACATGACAGTTCAGTGCTGTGGCAAGCGCCCTGGCAATCTCTATCAACGCCCGAAGAAGGCCCTGTGGAACCCTGACATTTTTCTTGGACCAACAGTGCACTGGGCGTTTAGGGTTTAGGGTTTGCGCTTTGAGGGTTTAGGGTTTAGGGTGTAAACGCCCCTATGAAACTTTGTGCCCCAAACCCTGAACCCTAGAAACCATTACCGGAACCTTGTATTTATCTCCCTTAAATAGAAAACCCTAAACCCTATAGGTCTCGTGTCTAAGCCGAGGAGGACCCTTGTTGGGGATATAGACCCTCTCAATGAGGTCCCTGCTAAGAGAGCCATAAGTTGGGTTCAAAAGGGTCCCCTTCAAGGGGTCTCCCAAGTACGAAGGGCTTAAAAGGCTTGGCTTGTGGTTTCGGTTTCTGAAAGAGTTTAAAAGGCCCTCGAAGGGCTTCCAGCTTCACCCTGAAACGCTAGAGACGCCTATAACCCCTTCGAAGGGAAACATCACAAGACGCTTTTTTTTGCCTGCTTCTGTTAACAGTCCCTAAGGGTCCATGTAGCCAAGTAGTAGATACATTGCCCCCAAAGTACCTGTATAGGGACTACTTTGCGGCCAAAGTATATACTATTTGGGTACATGGACCCTTCGGGAGTGGGTTCCATTATCCCAAGTATGGGGAACCCGAAAGCCTTAGGCCCTGAAGATCTAAGTCCCTAAACCTTGGGTACTATGGGTACTCCCCCCCCCCCATACAGTAGCAGTCTATAATCGGGCTACTATTAAGGGCCTTGCATATCCATATAATGAATATTACCCAACTGCTACTGAGTGGGGGCCAGTATCCAAATTAAACCCGTAAAGCTCGAACCCTGAACACCAAATGGGCAGTTCTTTAAGGTAGGATCCAATGGGGGGGGGGGCGTTTAATGAGGGTGCCGTACTATATTGGGGACCTACAAAGGGACCCTAATTAAGAGAACTACCCAAATCGAAGGAGCATCAGGAGAGCGGAATGGCCAGCATTGAAGCCAATCTCCACGGCAACGCTGTCCTGCCGCTTTCTCTGTAAGGACATTAACCCAAAACGGGAAATCCTACACCTTAAGGTTTAGTGTGCATGCAAGCTGCGTTGTCGAAAGGAGCCCACCTGCAAAACCTTACTGTAGAACACGCAAACAACTTCATAAAAGAGCCACGATGAAATCAGAGAAAAACTCCTGGAGAATCTTGTAGAACCCTGGTACAAAGCCCTCCAGGGGTTTCCTTTTTAACAAAAAGGAGAGTAAGAGCTCTCCTCCGGTGGCAGGGAGGCCACCAAGCTCCAGAGGTTCCGCTGCTTTGGGAGGTTCTTGGGGTTCGGATCCAGGCTGTGATGCATGTAGAGGATGCTGCCTCAAAGGCTTCTTAGGGCTTAGAGGGTTCGGTTTTGAGGGTTTTGGGTTTAGGGCTCTGGGTTTAAGGGTAGAGGATGCTGCCTCAAAGGCTTCTTAGGGCTTAGAGGGTTCGGGGTTTAGGGGTTTAGGGTTTAGGGTTCTAGTAGAGGGTCTAAGAGTTTAGGGTTTAGGGTTCACCCGTTGGCCCCTAAGTAGTTCCTTGATGCTGCCTCTCAGGTTTCTTCTTAGGGCTTCGAGGGTTCAGGGTTTAGGGGTTTAGGGGTTTAGGGTTCTAGGGTCTAAGAGTTTAGGGTTTAGGGTTTACCCGTTGGCCCCTAAGTAGTTCCTTGATGCTGCCTCTCAGGTTTCTTCTTAGGGCGTAGAGGGTTCAGAGGCTTTCTTGGCTTGAGGCTTTGAGGGTTTTGGGTTTAGGGCTCTGGGGTTAAGGGTAGAGGATACTGCCTCAGGGGTTTAGGGTTTGGGGGTTTGAGGCTGCTGGGTTTGGGGCTTTGGGCTTAGGGTTTCGGCTAGAGGACTAGCGGTTCCGTTCAAGCTTCTCTTGATCATAGTATGACGTATACGGGCTGCATGGGGTTCTCTAAGGCCAGCTTCGGGCACTTCTTGGGTTTATGATTCAGGGCTGGAGGTTTCGATTCGGGAGCTGGGATTAATTGAGGAGGTCGAAAAATCCTAAACCCTAAACCCGAAATCCGAAACCCTAAACCCTAACCCTATAATTACCCTAAACCCTAAACCCTATACCCTAAACCCTAAACCCTAAACTCGAAACATCTCGAAACCGCAAACCTCCGAAATCGGGACTCTGGCCTTCCATGGGCTCCCCCGACTCGCGAACGGCTGCACTCAGCGCTGTGAGGATGGGCTCCAGAACCTGGCTTTCGGATTTCTGGGGTTTAGGGTTTTAAGGGTTTTAAGGGTTTAGGGTTTAAGGTTTAGGGTTTAGGGGTTTTCGGATTTCTGATGGAGTCGCATCACAGGCTTCTCCTCCTCACAGGGTCTAGAGGGCTTTTGGCTCTTAGGGCTTAGGGCTTCAGGGTTTTCGCCCGAATTTCGAGGGCTTTTGGCGTTTTAGGGCTTAGGGCTTTAAGGGCTTTCGCGATTAAGGTTGAAGGTTTTGGCTTTTTGGGCTTTAGGGTTGAGTCTAGGTTTTGGAGCACCAGCATGTCAGGTGTAAGGTTCAGGGGTCAAGGAAGGAGAAAATCGAAAACCCGCCCAACCCTAAACCCTAAACCCCAAGCCCCCAAAAAACTGATAACCTTCCCAACTGCACAGCTCCCCCTTTCCCGGAAGCTCCTATGCAGATATATACTCCCAAAGGGTCCTAGGTACTGTTTAGGGGAGATACTTTCCCAAAGCATCATAACAATTCCTAGTATAGAAGCCCTACATTCTACTATATAGGTACTTTGGACCCTGTCCCAAAGGCTCCATGTACCCATATAGTATATACTTAGGCCTTAAAGGGGTTCCTATATAGGTACTTTAGGGTCTAAGTATATACTATATGGGTACATGGAGCCTTAGGGTGTGGGACTGGAATCCTGACAGAGCCCTTAAAGGAACCCGGGTCCTACCCAAGCGCGGCCTCGAAGGCAGAGGCGTACTCCTCCTCGCTGATGATGGCCATGACTGCCGAAGCCCACAGCACTTGGCGCCGGAACCCAAAAACTTCAGTCCCTGACGGATCATTTTGGAGGTTTAGGGCTTTGGGGTTTAGGGTTTGGGGCTTTGGGGCTTTAGGGCTTAAGGGTTTAGTATGGAGGGAGTATTTGTTGGGGCATAAATGCGGGAGGTAAGGCTGGCTTGCGGCTCTCACAGCTGCGCGGGACGGACGCATGAGCGAGAAGGAAATCTTTCTAACATGGCCATGGGCCCTGGCAAGTAGGATTCCTAGTAGTTTTAGGCACTTCGGAAACTTGGCCCACAAAACAGAAACTCTCAACTTTTACCCTGAAATCCTACGGTTTGGCAGTCCCGAAAGCCCTCAACCGACAAGCACAAGTAGGACAACAAAGCATGAACAACCTGTACGCGTGGATGGAGGATCTCTTTTATTGAGGTTTTTGGGGCCTCTGGCACCTAGGGGTCCCATGTTCTGTAAACTTACCTATAGTCTCCATTGTAGTTCCTTTTCTGTTTAACCAATTTTATATTAAGGATCCTAAAAGGTAACCCCAAAAAGGAACTACAATGGAGACTATAGGTAAGTTTTTGGAACCTGCGCGCCCTTGACAGCGAGAAGGACGCCCGGGGCTCACGGTCTTCGGGGCTGTTTATTCAGGAGACCTCGCTGCATTTTCGATTCCCGAACCTTTGGGTTTAGGGTTTAGGGGTTTAGGGTTTAAGGGTTTGGGGAAAGTTGCAGCAGTCTGAATCGACTTCAAGGAGGTGCTCTATGCGACCATGGGTAACATAGAAGCCCGAACAATTGAGCGCTCTTCCTTCGGCTTCCTTACGACAATGTGTATCGAAACGTACACAAAAGCCCTATCTATTGACCATAGTGGAGGCCCTTGCGTTAAACTTCGCAACCATGGGCACGTAGGGGCGCAAAGGTATCCTCAATCTAGCTTTATGCCTCAATTCAAGCTTGCGGATCCCTCTAAAGCTCAACAAATTTTCCTTATCTGAAGCTGAAACACCAGTGAAGACTTTGAAACATCACGCAAGCATCCGTAGTTAGGGAATATATAGAGACAGTTACGGGGTATTGGGCTCCCTTGTGTAGACAACATCTTCGGCTCAGTTCCCCGGCGCGAGCTTCTGTAGGTGGCACGAAGTCCTGGCAGACCCCTAAGCCCTGAAGCCTAAATCCCTGATCCTGACACCCTTGCTGTCAGTACCCGACCAAACAGCTTAAAACCCAGAACTCTAAGCCGAACGTAAACAAAACGACTCGCCAAAATCCACACAGCTCTAAGCCCGCAACCCGTCCAGACAAATGACAACTTTGACCCAACAGCGAGATGCTGAATCCAAGCAGACGACCAACAGCAAAGAAAAACAAACGAATCCGAAACCAAACAGCTCCGACACAAAAACTAGGCCAAAAAGGCGTCAACACCCATAACCCCCCCCCCGCCGGAACAAAACGAAAACGCTGGAGTGCCTCCAAGTTTGGCACGAAGTCTGCGGCCGTGACGTCAATGGGCTCAGCTGGGGCGCTCTTCCTGGGTTCTTGTTAATAATGAGTTTAACTTAATGCAATGTCCACAAAAAGAAAACCATACACGTATCTACTATGGTAGCCGAACTTAAGTTCACCCTTATCCCTGCCTAACTCCTAAGCCCAAAATTCCTGAACCCTGCAACCCTAATCCCTAAACCCTCTAAACCCTAAACCCAACATCCTCTAAACCCTGAGCCCTAGAACCCAAACCCTAAACCCTATAGACCCTAGGGCCCTAGATCCTGAACCCTAAACCCTCAACCCTAAGCCCTAACCCGTAAACCCAAAGCCCTAAACAATAAACCCTAAACCCTATAAAGCCAAACCCTAAGCCCTAAGCCCTAAGTCCTAAACCCTACCGAGACCCTAAACCCTTAAAGCCCTAAGCCTAAACCCAAAACCCTATAGACCCTAAACCCTTAAAGCCCTCAGCCCTAAACCCAAGCTAAACCAGAGCCCAGTGTCGGTCCCAAGCGGGTCCGCTGTGCCTCCTTCGCAGCCTGGGCGGCGGCCTGGCATGGAAGACGGAGGTTTGGGGACCTTTGGGGGTTTAGGGTTCAGGGTTTGGGGTTTCGGGTTTGGGCTTTCGGGTTGGGGCCTCAGAGTTTAAGCTTTCGGGTTTGGGGTTTTAGGGTTCAGGGTTTTGGGTTTCAGGGTTTAGGCTTTCGGGTTTGGGGTTTCGTTTCAGGGTTCAGGGCATATTAGGGTTTCAGGGTTTAGGCTTTAGGGTTTGGGGTTGTAGGGCTCAGGGTTTAGAGGATCTTGGGTTTAGGGTTTTAGGTTTTAGGGCTTAGGGTTCAGAGGGTTCAGGGTTTAGGGGGGCATGATGGGCTTAGTGTTTTAGGGTTTAGGGTTTAGGGCGGGGGGAATGATGGGTTCAGGGTTTTAGGGTTTGGGGCTTCATCTCTTTTGTTTAAGCTCTTTTGGGGATTTGGGTTGGAGTGTGCGGATTTGCGAGTTCGTCGGGATCTGCACCGGGGAGCCTCGGGATTAACCCTAAACCCCTAAACCCTAAACCCTAAAGCGTGTATGGTGTGTGGCTGAAAGCCCTAGGAGAGAGGTTCGAGTTTACATGTGGGGGTTGACAGCGTCGGGATCCGAGTCGGTAGCTTATTTTTGGGCAGTTTTCTAAACTAGGGTCCCTTTCCGGTTCTTTTTTTTAAAAGTGTGCCGTGCTATGTTGGGGACCTAAAAAGGGACCCTAATTTAGAAAACTACCCATTTGACCTTACCCGGCATGGCGTGCACTTGACTGTGAGCATACAAAAGCCTAGGCCTAGACCCTACACCCTGGGCCCCTAAATCCTCGTCCCCAACGGCTTCCTAAGCAGTAAAGGCCCTCAAATATTCTCACCAACGCCTGAAGCCCAGAATGACTCCCTAGCCGCGACGGCCCTCAACCCCCACACTCCAAAAACCCCAAACCCTAAACCCCACACCCTAAAACCCTAACGCCTTAAACCCCAAACGCCTGAATCCCAAACCTCC